GTCCGGTAGCAGAAGAGTTACGGCACATATTTGAACACTGTGCAGGTTCACCGAAACTTCGCTGACCATGTGCACAATGTATTTCCTTATGAGGAAGGCTACTTCTCCTCCTGGTGCCAGAGGCCGATCCTGCCCATGTATGGCGAAGCTATCTAACACTTAACCTGGTGCCCTATCGTGGTCCTTAAGCCATGTTTCCGGTACAGCTTTACAACTGCATTCAGGTCACATGCTGCTGCAAGGAGTTCCATCCACTTATTTCCAATACTGCAGGTGTTGGTTACAAGCAACCGACAGCCAACTGTGGATGGATTATGGCGCCCATTATTCACTATATCTTGGGTCTCGGTCCGGTTGCACAGAACTGGCATTGGCCACGGTCCAATCAAGCGTCCAGAATTCCTTCGATGGTGTGCTTACGAGTGTGCATTCACCACTTCAATTGATCGTGTTCTGCATCTATCTGCCAACAGAGAGAAAGAGAAGCCTTACTTCTCACCGTGTCTGCGAGAGACTTTATTGTAAAAGCGTCGCATATTGCACAAAAAGGTTATGAACCCAACACTTGCCTCCTGTTCAGTACTCCTCGTTTGGAAACAGTTCTAACCATCTCTTATCCAAAGCCAGTTTGGAAGCATGAACACTAAGCAGGTTGACTAGTTCCTCAGTTGGTCTATTCCACCTGTTGACTATTCTATCGCAGAAATAGTTGGACCTCACACCTAACCCACTTCTTTTCTTCATCAGTTTGTACTCGTGACCCCTAGTACTAGTAAATGGGGCATCAGTGAACAGTTTCTCAGAGGGAATTCCAAATAATCCCCTCTTAATTTTAAACGCTTCTATAGGGTCTCTTCTAATTCACCTTCTTTCTAGAGAAAATAGTTCGAGGTCCCTTAATCTTTCCTGGTATGATTCACCTCTCTGCCTCTCTACCATTCTTGTGGCTAGTCTCGGCTTTTTCTCCAGGCAGGCAGCGTCTTTTTTGTGCAGAGGTGCTTAGACTTGGACACAGTGTTCTAGATGAGGCCTTACTATCGCTTTGTACAATGGGACAAATATTTCCAGTTTTCTGCAAGATAGTGCCGACTTGAGCCGGAAAAGTTCCCCTGTGCATTGTGAGCTGCGATTTCACATTGGCTACCCCAGCTGAAATCCGAAGTCATTACTACCCCAAGACCTTTGGTAGTTTTTACCGGTTGGACTTCGAATACGCCCCATGTACCGACAGTAACTAATGGATCCTTCTGCTTGGATAATAGTTGACACTTGGCCGCATTCATTGCCAAGTCCCACTTATTTGACCATTCAACTACCCGTTCAATGTCCCGCTCTAGGTTAGCCCTGCCACTCGATCTCACCGCCTTCACTTCATCCGCGAAGGCGAAACAAGGTGAACTGATTAACCTTGCTAAGTGATAGATGAATAAAAGAAAGAGTAACGGTTCGAGAACCCAACCTTAAGGCACTCCGCTGGTCAATCGAATGACCTGAAAACTGGTCTCTCCTACCCTCATTTCGAAGATTCCACTTATGAGAAAAGCGGTTAACTACCTACACAGGTTTCCTTCTAGCCCAAAGCTTTTGATTTTGTGAAGGAGCAATCTGTGGTTCACAGAATCGAAAGCTTTGCCAAAATTGAGTTAGCCAAAC